ATGTTCACAAAAACCTAGACACAAACATTCTTAGCAGAACTATTCACAGTGGACAAAAATAGAAACAAATACAAATGACCACTGGTAAGTAGACAAACAAAATACCGTCAGGTTATACAAAGGAATATTAAGCCATAAAAGGAACAAAGTACCAAAAGATTACAAAATGGACAGACTTTGAAAACACTATGCTAAGTGTAAGAGCCTTGTCAGAGAAACCACAAATTTTAAGACCCTATTTATACAAAATTTTAAGCATAGGCTTAAATCTACAACGTGGATAGTTACTTAGGGATAAGAGTTCTGCCATCACAAAATGACAGGGACTGCACAATTTCTTTCTGGAATAATAAAATCTGGAAAGATGATCAGTGGTTAAGAGCACTTGCTATTCTTACAAAGAACCTGAGTTCAGTTCCCAGCACCCATATGGTAGATTACAACCAGAGGACCCAACAATCTTCCAAGGGAACCAACACACATATAGAGAGACAGAGACAAATGGATGAGTTTGAGGCCAGTGTGATCTACGCAGAGAGTTCCAAGATATCCAATGATACACAATGAGACTTGGTCTCCATTATAAATAAATAAGCAAGCAAGTAAAAGAAAAAGTTCTAAAATTAGGGCTGGAGAGATGGCTCAGTGGTTCAAAGTACTGGCTGCTGTTGCAAAGGACCTGGGTTTGGTTCTCAGCACCTATATAGTTCCAGGGTATCCAATGCTCTCTTCTGATGCCTATGGACACTGTAAGCAAAACACTCAAGCACACAAAATCGGTTTTAAAAGTTCTGAGCCAGGGCTGGAGAGATGACTCAGCGGTTAAAAGCACTGGCTGCTCTTCCAGGTCATGGGTTCAATTCCCAGCAACCACAGGGTGGCTCACAACCTGTAATGAGATCTGCTGCCCTCTTCTGGCAATGCAGGCATGCAAGCAGACAGAGCACCCATACCCAAAAGTTCTGAGCCAGATGTGGTGGAGTCCCAGCACTTGGGAGGTAGAGGCAAGCAGATCTCCATGAGTTCCAGGATAGTCTGGTCTACATAGTGAGTTCCTGTACAGTCAGGAGTATATAGAGAGACCTAGTCTCAAAGACAAAGAAAACAAAACACCAGGTCATTATCTAGTTTAAGGTTTAAGTGAAAATTAACCCACTGACTTAAGAATGACTCTTACCAGGCAGGAGAGATTGCTCAGTGGTTAAGAGTACTTGCTGCTCTTCCAGGGGATCTGGGTTTGATTCCCAGCACCCACACGGCAAGTCACAACTGTCTATAATTCTGGCTCTGGTATTGTGATGCCTTCTTCAGGTCTTTGCAGGTATCAGGCACACACATGTCATACATACATACATACATACATACATACATACATCATATATATAAAATAAAATTTAAAGCTAGGTAGTGGTATAGCACACACCTTTAATCCCAGCATTTGGGAAGTAGGATCTCTGAGTTCAAGGCCAACCTGGTCTACAGAGGGTCTTCCAGGACAGCCAAAGCTACACAGAGAAGCCGGGCGTTGGTGGCGCACGCCTTTAATCCCAGCAGGCGGATCTCTGAGTTCGAGCCTCCAAAGCCACAAAGAAACCTTGTCTCAAAAAAAAAAAAAAAAAAAAAAAAAGCTACATAGAGAAACCCGTCTTGAAAAATAACCAACTAACTAGATAGAATAGAATTTAAAAAGAAATCTTAAAAAAAAAAAATCACTCTTGTCATCTGTACAAATAAGCACTAAATTGTTAAGGGAACAGATTTATTGCAGACTTTGTAAAATGCCTAATATTTGTACTAAGTCTAAAGTAAAATTACTTTAATAAAAGATGAAGTTCATAACACAAGACTACCACCCCAAGACCAGGGAAAATACAAAGCTCCAGGTCAGCTAGGGCTACATAGCAGACTACACAGGGAAGCCCTGTCTCAAACAAAACAAGTTTGTTAAAGAAAAAAAGGAAGGAAGGATGGGAGTGAGGAAAAGGCCGGGCACACACTTAATTCTAGCATTCGGGAGGCAGAGGCAGGTGAATCTATGAGTTCAAGGCCAGCCTGGTCTACAAAGTGAGTTCCAAGACAGCTAGAGTTACACAGAGACACCCTGTCTCAAAAAATAAAACAGAAAATAAAAAAGAAGAGGAGGAAGGGGGAAGAGATAAAAGACCTCTGTTTAAAATGCAAAGCTCTGTAGGGAATAGTTCAAAATCACTGGGCAAGAGTCAGTCCCTCTTCAGACTCCACTCACTAGATTCACAGCCTGGAATGTCTTCAGTTTAAAGGAACTTTCCTGGGTTTGTTTTTTCCCATAAGAAATGACCAAGTCAAAATAATCACAAGACAAACCCACTATAAAAATGATAACTTTCTTTTTTGTTTCAGCACACACCCTACAGACAGATATCAATGCCTTCAATAGGTACTCATAGGCATTTGAGGCAACTTAAGAACAATTTACATACCAAAAAAAAAAAAAAGCTTTTCTTCAGTGTGCCTTCAGGTAACACACTTTGGAAGTGGGTACCCTACCAAAAATAAAAAGTATTACAAAACAGAAACCTACTACTAAAGAATTAATTAACATCAAAACTCTGTCATTAGAATATTTTACAATGCCAAAAATCCTACAGTGGCAAAATTTTTAATCATTCAACTTTCCCCAAAATAATAGTTTTGAAAGTAAAACTTTACAGCAATAAAGCAAAAAAATCAGGAAAAAAATTAAACAAAGAAAGTAGAACTGAAAACTATGTGCCCCAATAATCCCTTCTCTTTAGTTCAAATGTAAAAGAAGCTGTTAAGAACATTGGGCACATAGCTGGGCATGGTGGTGAATACCTATAATCCCAGCACTCTGGAGGCCAGCCTGGTCTACAGCAGGAGTTCCAGGACTTTACAGAGAAAACGATCTTGAACCCCACTCTCCCCCTGCCCCCCCCCAAAAAAAAAGAAAGAACACTGGGCACAGCCATCCTTGTGGCACGGAACAATATTCACAAAAATGAACAGGCCCTCAGAAGTTCGCAAAAACCCCTTTCATCTTGAGAAAGGGGCTTTCTTTTCCAAAGATTCTGATTCTTCAGCCATCCCTCCAAAAGGAACACTCAAACATAGTCAATTCTTCCCTGAGGGAATTTGAAGAGAGGTCTCTTCTTGAGGGACAGAAAAAGAATCTTTTAATATGATCTCCCTAAACAAGGAGTAGTGACTGACACCTGTGATCCCAACACTTAGAAAGAGGCTGATGCAAGAGAACTGCTGAGAGTTCGAGGTCAGACTTGGAAAAAAACAGTGAGTATCAGGTCAGCTAGAGCTACCTAGCAAGATCCTGTGTCTAAAGAAAAAAAAAGCCTGGAGGTGGTGGTGCATGCCTTTGATTCCAACACTCAGGAGGCAGAGGCAGGTGGATCTCTGTGAATTTGAGGCCAGCCTGGTCTACAGAGTGAGTTCCAGGACAGCCAGGGCTACACAGTGAAACCCTGCCTCGAAAAACCAAAAAGAAAAAAAGAAACGACTAAAGAAGATCTCCGCACAAACTGAAAGCAAGACCAGGAGAACACACACTACATGAGACCCAGTTCTTAAACCTCAACTGTGCATGGGAGTCTCCAAGGCATCAGGCACTTTCCCCTTCCCTTTTTATTAACATTAGAAAGAAAGATCAATTTTTCAACAGAGGGGATGAAACTGAAAATGCTCTTGATGTCTACTGACAAGCGATCATGTGTGGAAGATTTTCATATATTTATCAATGGGAAAGGGGAAAAGAAACCATCTGCACCACTTTACATACTAGGAAAGGACAGTTTTATTTTTCTTAGGATAGCTGGAGGCTGAAGAGGATATGTAGATAAGAAGCTATTTTTTAATCGTCACAAAAGCAGACCTAGATAAACTTGGTAGACAAAAAAAGTCTGGCTTCTGGCATTGTTTCCTCTTAAGAATCTTATAGGGAGATAGATGCAGGAGGATCAGGGGCTTGGCTATACAGCAAATTGGGGCCAGTCTGGGCTACATGAGGTACATGTCTGAAATAGCAGCATTCTGTAGGATGAAAAAGGATTACCAGGGGTCAGGGGTTGGAGGACAGCCTAGGCTACATACTGCATTTGAGGAAAGCCTGGGTGGGCTGTATTGAGACCTTATCTCAAAAACAAACAAACAAACAAAAACCACAAGAAAACAAAAAACTTGTTTCCAAAATTTTTATTTTTTTTTCCACACAGGATTTCTGTGTGTAGCCTTAGCTGTTCTTAGCTGTCCTGGAACTTACTCTGTAGACCAGGCTGGCCTCGAACACACAGAGATCAGACTGCCTCTGCCTCCCAGGTGCTGGGACTAAAGGTATGCACCACCACCACCCGGCTGTTTCCAAATATTAATCACACATTTAATCCCAGCATTCGGGAGGCAGAGGCAGGTAGGTCTCTGTGAGTTTAAGGGCAGCTTGGGCTCTTACACAGAGAAACCCGGTCTTGAAAAACAGCAACAAAAATTAATCTTTTTTTTTTTTGTCTGATTTTTACTAAGGCTCTCTTTCTTAACTTAGGGAGTAGAGTACAGTAAGATTCCAAAGGAGAGGAGGTGTCCTTTATTATAAGACTGTGGGAAAAGCCTTTCTGGTAGAAAGAATGGGTTGAACATTTGTGATGGAAGATACATTCATGCAAATACCTGATTCTTTGAGCAGGACAAGGCTTTTCTTTAACAAATCAATAGTAATAACTGACCAAAAGTCCACTGTGCACTCAGCATTTTCACAAAACTTCACTTTAGCCCTCATGACAATTCATAGAAGAAGAAAAGCACCAGGTTACAGATGGGCTGCACTGACATGGGAAGGATGAGTCAAGGTCACAAAGATGTTAAGTGGGAGATACAAACTTGCAAATATCAAACTCCAAAAGAGGAAGAGAAGATCACTAAACACTAAAAGACCTAATAAAAACACAAAAAGCAAAGCTCCCTTGGTGGACATGACTGGGTAAGGGAAGAAGGCTTACTTGCAATAACATAAATTCTGGGCCTTCCTCTCTTTATCTTGAGGTGAATGTAAAAAAATGAAGGGAAGACAAATGTTTGAGGTGGAGGGTTGTTTGTTTGTAGAAAAGAAAGATACTTCTGTCGCGTTTTTGGGAAGTTGAGAATCTCCTTCACTCGGAAGACGCTGACCAAAGTGGGGTCGTTTGGGGATTACCCCTTAAATCCTTAGGATAAAGAATTCCCTTTGGCACCATAAACGGGCCTTCCTTCGCTGACAAATGGACTAGAGCCGAGGAAAGGCGAATGCCGACAAGGGGCGTCGTCCTCTCCAAGGAGAGAAGTTAGGGGTCCCCTGCAGGTGGAGGTTGAAAAGGGAACCTCTTTTCCCTGGAGCCAGGACTCTGAAGCTGTTTTCTCCCAGTGACGTGGCGCCTGATCTCCTTGATGTCTGTGGGTGTTTCTGTCACTAACAACGCAGCTTTGGTGCCCTTCAGCGCCCCGAAAGGCTGGGGGCCCGGACCCCCTTTAGTCAGCACCGTCCAGCGGAGGACCCCCAGGGCGTTGTGGGGCCGCCCGGGCCTCTTACCCTGTGGCCTGCTCCGCGGCCCGTGCTCATCCCGCCACCTTGGCCTCGGCTGCCTCGGTCCCCGCTGTCCCCGCGGCCGCCAACTCTACCAGATCTTCTGGAGCCGAGGCCCGAGGGCGCTCCGGCCTCCACCGCTTCTACAGTCTGTTCCCCCCTCCCACCGCACTTCCTCATCCGGGGCCAAAGCCAGCCATGCGGACTGGCCTTGATCCCGCCCCCGCACGGCGCGCGCGCACTCCGGAGGGCGGCTCTTCCCAGCCGGTACCTCCGCCCTCTGCTAGCCCCGCACACACTCAGCCCCGCCCCCGTCGCACTGGCTCTTAAAGAGAAACACACCCTTTGGCTCAGTTCCTGCCTCCAACTGTTACCAGTGCTATGGTCCAATCCATTTCTGTGACATGGACAGCTGCCACCATCCTGGCAGATCGTGAGACCTTTAATAACTACAATCAATAACTTAGGTCACACCATTCTCCTGATGCTTCCAATCACACTGGCTACTAAATCTAAACGATACACCAGGAAGGTAGTTGGTTACACTTTGTTTTTATTTCTTCGCTGCTTCAGCGTTGAAAGCACTGCATTTCATCTTATTTGTTGCCCGTCCCTTCCCATCCTCACCTGTTTTCTTCAGCACTATATCACAGCACCTAAAGAAGTGTCTGGCAGAGATTAGACTGCAAAAAGGGTTGGGGAGGGAGAGTATTAAATACGTCCATAGAATAATCAACTTGCCCCGAATCACAGTCATGATTTAGAAATAGACACCTATAGTTTCCTGAACCTCACCAGCATAGCAGGCGACGAAGGCTTTGGAGAAAATTGTAATTTCCTTTTCTCTGATTAGGATGTATGGAGGGAGCTAGGCTTGGCGATGCACTCCTTTAACCCCAGCAGAGGCTAGTGTATCTCTGTGAGTTCCAGGGAGTTTGTTGACTGAACAAACAAATAAACAAAAATATCGTTAGAGGCCGGATAGAAAGTTCTGTGTTAAACAGGACACTCCTGCTTTCTCAGTAGGTTTGAGGACAGTTTCTAGCAACCTTACTGGGCGGCTCACAACAGCGTGTAACTCCAGCTCCGCCAGGAGCCCGGGCATCTGGCCTACATACCCACACTCAAATTTCCCATACACAAACACATAATTAGAAAATATTTTTTTAAAAGATAGCTTTGAGCCAGTGAGTATGCATTTTGCCTGAGATAGTGGTTTTTCTCAGCGTTAGGATTGAAAATACACAAACTTACATGCCAACTCTACTATCTCTGGGCTGAATGATATCATAAACAGTTCATATATGTGTTTAGTTTGCATACAAATTACTGATTTTCTAATCTATACTTAGGTAAAGATTAATTAACTAGCCAGGTGGCGCTGGTAAGTGTCTTTAATCCCAGAACTCCAGGAGTCAGAGCAGTAGTAGCAGGCAGATCTCTGAGTTACAGGCCAGCCTGGTCTACAAATAAGAGTTCCAGGATAGCCCGGTCTGTTACACACACACAAAAACTCTGTCTCGAAAACCAAACCAAAGTGAAAGCAAACCCCTCCATCCAAAGCAAACAAAAAGATTAACTAAAAATTCACTTGGAAACATTTCAAGTGACTGGAGAGATAGATGACTCAGCAGTTAAGACCCGAACTCTAGCAGAGGACAGAGTTTGCTTTGCAGAATGCAGTTTGCAACCGCTTATAGCTCCAAATGTAGAGGATCTGATGCCCTTTTCTAGACTTTGTGGGCATGCCCACCCCCAGATACACAGAGATAAAAACACATACATATAAATAAAAAAATAACAAAAATTTTCTTAAAGTAAATTAAATTTTGGGTCTGGGGGGCATGTTTTGAGACAGGGTTTCTCTGTGTCGCCTTGGTTGTCCTGGAACTCTCTCTGTAGACCAGGCTGGCCTCAGACTCACAGAGATCCACCTGCCTCTGTCTCCTAAGTGCTGGAATTAAAGGTGTGTGCCACCACCAACCTTTGGAAAATTTTTAAAATTTCACAGTATCCTATTAAATATATTCACAGGCAATTGTACAACTTTATAATGGAGTCTGAGAAAGTCAAAACTACTGGCTTTTCCTTTTGTCTCAAGATGCAGTATGGATCCATTTTTCATCTTGCTTTCATTTTTAAATGTGGTATTTTCTCTTCATGAAATCTTTGTATTAATTATGGTTTGTTTATTTAGTTTTTGAAGAAGACTCTATGTAGCAGAGGATGACAGTGGTGGTTTGAATGAGAATGACCCCATAGGCTCATATAATTGAATGCTTGCTCTGAAGTTAGTAGAACTGTTACCTACCTGCTGCCATTCTCCTTGCCAGGGCATTCATGGACTCACATTCTGAAACTGTAAACAAGCCCTCAATAAAGTCATGTGTCAACATGCTCAGCTCTGCTTTTTTTTTACTTATTGGTTAGTTTTACTTTTAATTGTTTTGAGACAGGATCTCACTTTCTAGTTCAGGCAAGTCTGAAACTTTCTCTGTAGACCAGGCTGGCTTCAAATTCTCCCAGCCTCAGCCGTTTTGAACAGTAGGATAATGGACATGTACAACCGTGCCTGGCTTACTCACTCTCTTAAATCACGTGAAAATATTATTCATCTTACTAAATTTTTATTTTTAATTCTCTCTCTTCCTCTTTCTCTCTTAGGGGTGGGGAATAGGGAGTATTATAATACAATTCTCCCTATGTAGCCCGGGCTGGCCTGAAACTCACTATATTGAGATAACTAGCTATCTTTTTTTCTTTTCTTTCTTTTTTGTAAAGCAGTCTCTTAAATTCCATTAATTGTTGTTGGTGTTGTTTTTGTCTTTTTGTTTGTTTGTTTATCGAGACACGGTTTCTCTGTGGCTTTAGAGGCTGTCCTGTCATTTTTGTCTTTTGAGACAGGGTTTCTCTGTGTAGCCCTGGCTGTCTTGGAACTCTCTCTCTCTCTCTCTCTGTAGACCAGACTGGCCTCTAACTCAGAGATCTGACTCCCAAGTGCTAGGATTAAAGATGTGTGCTACCTGGCTTTTTTCCTCCTAACATCTTTCTTTTTTCCTTTTACACAATCTCTCACTATATAGGTTAGACTGCTCTCAAACTCTTCCAGTGATGGCATTATAGGTATATACCACCATGAGAACCTTTCCCAACTGTGCTATGGGAGGCCCTTTGGCCAAGTCCCAAGTCCTCTACTGTGTTACAGTGCTTTTGCTCTATCTATCTATCTATCTATCTATCTATCTATCTATCTATCTAAACATTGGAATCTTGGAATCCTGTAGCTTATGTTAAAGCTGAAAAAAAAAGTTTAAAAAGTGCTGCAATTAACTAGAGGCAAAGATGCCATTTAGATTGGTAATCATGATCAGAAGACACATGGCAGTGTTATGCCCTAAGATACTAGTTCAGATATACATGGAAGCAGAATGCTGTATACGTAATAAATAAATAAAATCTTTTAAAAAAGAAAATGGTTACCAGAACAAAGTAGGAGGCTGGTAGAGTGGCACAGGTCAGAGACCAGGCTGAGGTTGCATGCAGATAGATAGCTTTGCCTAGTGGGTATGAGGTCCCAGCCCTAGCAGTAAGAGAAAGAAAGAAAAAAGAAAGTGAGGAAGCAAGAGGCTAGTGCTCTGGGGAGGGTGGCTCATTCCTCAGACAGAATTAGGAAGGAGGCTGAGGCAGGAGGATTGTCATGAGTTCAACGCCAGTCTGTCTAGTCACCTAACTCTCCTTAAAGAGAGAGATGTCCCAGTAAATAGGGGCTTAGGCCAGTCCTGGGTTTAATATACTAAGTTGGCTTGAAAGAGGTTGGCATCCATCCCTTCTGAGTTTTCCTCAGCATTTCACTGACCACCTGTGAAGTACCCTAGTGTCTACTGTCTAGCCATGTTACAATAGAAAGTTTAGAAAGATGTCTTGGAAGTCACAGCAGCTATTTATTTATTTAGGTATATATGTTTAGTATGTGAATAGCTTCATTAGTCATGCAATACTGAGCATACATCCCCCAGTGCACTTCATTTTTGAGGCATGGTTTCCCTTCTGGTTTCTGCAGCATAGAGATCTCCAGGCTCGTCTAGCTAGCCCCTAAGCTTTTTTTTTTTCCGGGTGGGGGGGGTGGTCTCAACTAGTAGTAGGGCTTGGATTACAACAGATGCATGCCCCTAGTCTCTTGGTTCCCAGTGATGGAAGTCAGGCTGTCAGGCAACACCCGGTTAAATTAAAATTCTTAACATTAAAAACTATAGCTATTGTCTCTGGGCATTGGTGGCACACACATTTAATCACAACACTGGGGAGGCAGAGACAGGCAGATCTCTGTGAGTTCGAGACCAGCCTGGTCAACAGAGTGAGTTCCAGGACAGGCTCTAAAACAATACAGAGAAACCCTGTCTCAAAAAACCAAACCAACCAACCAAACAAACAAACATCAACAACAAAACCTATAGCTATTGTGGAGTTGGGATTGTTTCAATGGCATTTGAGTAACATTGATTTAGCTTTTCAATCCCCAGTTCTGTGGGATGGGTGCTGGTTTTGCATACCCCAGGTCCTGGGTTCAGTCCTCAGAACAACCAACAACCAAAGGATCATAGAAGCCTAGGAATATCTTAGGGTTTGGATTTGTGGAGACCTGCACAGTGGACACTTCCAAGAAGCAGGAGCTATTCCATTGTTTTAAGTATATAACACTGCCCCCATACACACACCATACACACACTGGTAGATTTCTGAGAGTGGCTTAAAGGAGACGAAAAGGAGAAAGAAAGAGGAAAGTCTGACTCTAGGTAGGATCATGTTTATTGGTGGACATACTGTGAGGGGACAAAATGTCACTTACGTGGAGGGATGAGCCTATGTCCCATGTCATGTGTGTGTGTGGGCGGGAGGCATGAGAGAACACCTCATAAGAGAATAAGATAAGAAAATGGCCCACTACATGCAGACAGATGAGAGAATACCCCGGGAAGAAGGCTACAACCTTTATAG